ATTGTTATGTTTTGATTATATTAAGCTTGCACAATTGCACATGTCCTTTAACCTAAAAATAATTGAAGACACATAACGATATATATATATATATATATATTTTTTTTTGCTTTAAATATATATATCTGTATAGGCTATATTACAGTATTTTTCTAATTTTAACAATCTTTTATAATTATACGTAGATATACATAAAATCTTACAAAAAAGGCACCTATAGGTTTAACATATATATAAAAATTTGTTCTTAGTTTTTTTTGTTTTTTTTTTTGTTTTTTTTTGAACAAGAAAAATTTTCGTTTCGGTGTTCCGAAGCAGACAGAGTTTCTTCGTCCGGATATTGAGCCGTGGGGAGGCTCCCGGGCGATCTTATATGACGCTGATCCTTGCAAGGAAGGGTCTCCTGTTAGTATTATTATAATTATTATTATTATTATTATGTTGACTTTAGCTTATTGGGATGAGGAACCCGGGCGGTTTGGTGTATCCCGCCTCCTCCATCCCCGAGCTCTCCCCTGTGCTTCGGGAGTGGGTTGTTGTGTCCGAAATCCTATTTGTGATCCACTCGGTGCTCCCGGTGTTCTCCACCTTCTAGTCCTCCCTCGTGCTTCCCGAGCTTGTTGGAACGGAAGCGNGATCCTTGCAAGGAAGGGTCTCACATTAATATTATTATAATTATTATTATTATTATTATTATGTTGACTTTAGCTTATTGGGATGAGGAACCCGGGTGGTTTGGTGTATCCCGTCTCCTCCATCCCTGAGCTCTCCCCTGCGCTTCGGGAGAGTGTTGTTGTGTCCGAAATCCTATTTGTGATCTACTCGGTGCTCCCGGTGTTCGCCACCTTCTAGTCCTCCCTCGTGCTTCCAGAGCTTGTTGGAACGGAAGCGGACGTAATGATCGTTGAGGCCCCCCGCTTCCTTCCCGAGCTTCCCTTACAGACTTCTTGTCCTCGGGATTTTTGTCTCTTTGAGTTTCTGGTTCCACTGTCCTTCCTAGAAGGCCTTTCGCTTTCTTATTCATAATTTTCTTATTCACTGACTCTATCTCTGTACGTAAGTCTGGAGGAAGCTCAGCTCCCAAGGGTAAAGCAAGTAGTTCTGGCCGCGGTGACTCCAGCTTCCTCCTAACTCGCGTTAACGCTAGTCGTACGGCCTCTTCATCCATCTTATGACTTGATGCTGTCCTGTTGTGTCCTGGCGACGGAAGAGGGGATTCCGGGGGTTCCCACTCTTCGTCTTCATCCTCATCCCAGATACCTTGTAAGGCGGCGTAGAGGTCTGCGTTGGATGTGCTTTCTGCCATCGCTGGACTTGTGAAGACAAGAGTTCGTTCGAC